AGAACCCCCTCCACATCCATACTCCAAGACAGCAGCCCTCTGATTCAAAATAAACATTATTCTGGAGTAAAAATACATCTTTCTCTGAAAGAACCAGCAATGCTGTCAGGTCTGAGGCAAAAGTCTGCATCCAGGCAGGTTTTCCAGCTCTGGGTTGGGAAATACCTGGAAATTTGGGGGTGGAGTTTGGGGAGGGGAATTGGGAATGAGAGGGACCTCAAAAGGGTATAATGTCATAGAGTTCACCCTCCAAAGCAGCCATTTTCTCTGGGAGAAATTATCTCTTTCTGGGAGATCCCCAAGCCCTACTTGAAGGTTGGCAACCCTAGAAGAGAACATAAGAGAAGCCAATGTTGGATCAAGCCAATGGCCCATCCAGTCCAACACTGTGTCATACAGTGACCAAAACCCAGGTGCCATCCAGTGTTCCCTCTAAGCTGAGTTAGTGTGAGCTAGCTCAGTTTTTTAGCCTCCAGCTCACATTTTTGTCTTAGCTCAGAAAGGATGGCTCCAAAGCAAACTGATTTATGCAGTAGCCAAATTGTTCGCTCACAACTTTAAAGCCAGTAGCTCACAAGGTTGAATTTTTGCTCACAAGACTTCACAGCCATCAGAAGGTCCACCAGTGGGGCCAGAACTCCAAAAGCCTTCCCACTGTTGCCCCTCAAACACCAAGAATACAGAGCATCACTGTCCCCAGTGTTCCATCTATACCTTGTGGCTAAAAGCCACTGATGCTGCTCCACATGTTTATCATATGTGATTAGCAGGCTTCCCCAAAGCAGGCTGTAACTTGCAAGCTCTATTGAGCAGAGTGGGACTTTCCTTTTATATTCAAGGGTTATAGTATGTGGGTTTATTTGTGGAGATAGTAAGGGATGAGAAACTTGCTGGTCACTCTGTGCTTCGCATTTGAAGTATGCATTAGCACCTAAAATAACTCACTCCATGAAGCCCAGAACCCAAGATTCTCTACTGGATACAATACCTTTATGTTCCCAGGGGGATGGATCTCCTCAGCTCCTTCCCTGCTTTGCCTTCTGTCAGCGAGAAGGGTCTGCTTCTGTTGTCTTTCTTCACCGATCTGAAGCTTGGAAGCCCTTCCCATTTCCACAACCCACACCACGGTTTTGATAACAACACAAATCATTTCCTTCTCTGATAAAAGCCTTCCAAGAACAAACATGTAGCTACACCCATTTCTATTCCACCCCCCCTTTCCTTTCTCTGCCACATTTTAAAAAGCTGAGGAAACTCTTAGATGGGTGAACTGACACAGAACTTA